TACCTGAAGTTATTCTAGTAAAATCTGAATCACCCTGTATACATTTGTAGGTATAGTTTGGTTTGGTAGGTATTGTAGGTCTAGTATTAATTTATGACAGGTCAGTTGAATATATTTTATTAAAACAAAGAAAAAAAAAATAAAAATTTCTATATCAAGAGTCAAACCCATATTAGGAAAAACGAACTATTTTATATTACAGATACATTAAAGGTTCGGGAAACTATCATTAGAAAAACTGTACCTCTGTAATGAATTAATTTCTTGGAAAAAGCCTGTGTATTTCGCCACTGAAAGAGAAAATTAAAAAAAAAATATTCTTTTTGTAAAAACCACTGAGTAGAAGCTAAACGGAAACCAGTTTTCAGTGACTTTTTACTAGCAAAAGAAATTTACAAAAAGTTATTTTTAGAAATTTTAAATTGTTTTGTAATGCTTCTTTTTTTGCCATTTTGTTTCTGACAACGAAAAGGGAAACCTATATCTTCTGAAACGTTAAGCATTTTTTGTCAGTGGGGCAAATTTGTTTTACGACTAATACGTTAGTAACAATGTGTTACTTGTTTGGATTCTACGCTGGGATTTTACACAAAAATATCTTTATTATTTATTGGATTTCTCTTTCAGTGGCTAAGCTTTTTAACATATATCATTAAAAGCTAACAGTCATATACAGTCGGCATTTCTCTTAGAAAGATTCGCAAGGAAGTGATTCAAAGGTCACGACTAGTAGACATTACAGAGCGTATAGCAAATCTTATGTCGAAATGACTTAGCATCCACGCTAAACCAAAGGAGCATTGACGACCTCAAAAGCGTTTGGTAGATGACTATCGGATAGTGGCTGGAAAACATTGCACACATATAGCAAAATATTGACGTTTGTTGGATGAGACCAATATCCAAGAGTGGATGGCAGCACGTTGAAGAAGAAGCCAGGAAGAAAAAGGCCGTTAGAAAAGCCTGGGTGTTTTGCCACTAAAACTAATAAAAATAAAGTATTTTTTGGAAAAATGCCACTGTGTTAGATCCCAAACCGAATATAGATGTCCAGAGGCTTTTTATGCATAAACAAATTTTTATTGAACGCCACTGACAAGCTGGTTTTCATTTGGATTCTTACGCAGTAGAATTTTGCAAGAAATATGTTTACATTTGTGGATCTCTGTTTCAGTGGCAAAATACAGAAAGGCAGAAAGCAAAAATCTAGAAAAAACTGTCATTAAAGAAACGACAGATATTTTCAGGAGAGGAATAAGATAATCAGTTTTTTAGATGACGAATAAGAACATAACGTAGCTTACCACTTGATGAAAAAATACAGTGTAAAATTATTGTTGTACATTCATTTTCTATTCACTTTATAAATTACCCGATAGCGGTATTTATTTCGCACTAATCTATCCCATTGAAAAAACGGGCACAATCGAAAATAGTTTTCTAACTTGCATGTTCTAAATCACGTCCGTTTCGAAGACTTGTCTATAAACAATGGCCCAATTCCGCAACTTGATTTGTGGCCTCCTAACTTGCAGTTGCATTGTGGCAGGTCGAACAAATCAAGTTTCAATTACTCCAGTCAGCGTGCGACCAAATTGCACACCATTGAGAACGATAAAATACTGAGCCGAAAGTAGTCAGATACTATCGGGAGATTTTTTACCGAAAAGACCGTGTTTCTTTGTAGTCATGTATTTTATTTATATGAAATGTCTAGTATTGCTTTTTATCTACGAGTTTCATCAAAAATTTAAAATATACATTATTATGTTTTATTTATGTATTAGTTAAACCATATTGTTTTATTATAAAACGCTGATATTTCAACTTTTTGGAGATATAAACTCTGTAGATTTGAGAACATCTAAGTTATACGTATTATTTATCTCTATTCAACGAGTCAAGAAAAAATTCGTGAGACGACATTCAAAAAATGACAAAAAATACAACTTTTCTAAAAACTTCAATAAAAATGTAACTTTTAACGCATGCTGTCAGTGCCTAAAATGTGACATTATGTCACTGATGGTAAAAGTCATTGACTTTTAGCACTGGTGCTAAAAGTATGTCACGTGATTTACTTTTAACACTGAAGCGATAACAATAACCCTAGCAACCATAAACTTCATAATTAATTTGATTTCAGAATAACATATTATGAATTATTCATTAAAGTAAAAAGTAGTAATACCTTGATATATACGAGCATAAACTTGTTTGTAGAAAAAAATCGTGGATGATATATGTTCGAAGGGATGGGACACTCCTCCTTCGGCGTCGTTTCGTGTCCCAAGAGGCCCTTCTCACAAAATAAAATTCCACTTTTAGCACTTATATCATAAATAACTATTATCTGCGAATTAAAATTCTGTCACAATCAAAAAATAGCTGCCACTGTCGTTTATTTTATCCGTAATACTCTTGTTCGACAAATTATATTAAACAATGAATGTTGTTTTTAGTACCTACTAAAATTAAATTTAAGCTATAGTCTGTCCAACGACAAAATCCCTGACGGTGATGGACTTGTCTGTTATTTTAATAAAACACCTGCAATTCGAGCTTCATTTGTCAAGTCAAGTAGTTTTGATACCATATCCGCGTGACTATAAGAAAGGAGACAGTTATAAGTTTAAATAAGTTAGAAGCTAAAGAAGAAGTTAGAAGCTTCTTCTTGCTAAAAAAAGTCTACCATATTCCACGACGATTCTTGGAAATTGTTTTCTTTAGAATATCGTCTCAGAGGATATTAAAAAGAAATGACGACAGGACGCAAACCCTGCTTCACACCATTTCGAATGTTGATGGATTTACTCTGTTGACCCTTGTGCAAGACTGCACATTGAGCCTCACAATAGAGCACCTTTATGATTCTTACAATTTTGTTAGGAATACCAACTCTGCTTAATACCAACTTAAAATACAACATAAATAAAACAAAATACTTCATTAATAATAACTTCAATAATTTACAAGCACTTACTGAATTTTATACCTTAAAAGTTTGTTAATTAACTTTAATCTGATATGCAAAAGCAGTTCGCAAATATTTATCATTTTCAAGAATGCTAGTTATTTGACATAATTAATATGACAAATAATAACCTATAATTTTTAAAACCTATAATTTTTTTATCGAAAATAAATAAAATAATATTGACGTCATCTGTCTTTTCTCTGTCATCAATAGTATCTCATCAGTATCCAAAACAAATATTTTTGTTCTTATGTTCTAAAGAACCCCTTTAACTGTGCCTATCTACTTAATATAGTTTATATTTAAAATTATATAATATAAATATAATATAATTTTTTATTAAAATTTTCGACCTTCAATTCGCAAATTCAACGGCGAAATACTCAACATTTTCAGTTATGATTCTGCAATAAAACTACATTGTATTATTTAGTATTACCTCCCACAGTATTAGGTATATTATATGTATACAGATAAAAAATCTTATCCCTAATTCGTGGAACGAAAATTATTTTTTATGACGATGTGCAAACGAGTAATATTTTCTGTGCGTAAAAATAAACTCGCGTAAAATAACAATAAACAGCGTAATAGAGAGATATCACTAAACCGAATAGCGTGCATGGACGTTAATAAGGCCAGGTGTTATTTCCCTTACGTGAGGTGGTAATAACTCTCTTCATTTATAGTTATCGGATCGGAAAGAATTCTGCTCGCGTCGCGTCCGCTATTTAAACTTAACCTAACTTTGAATTTAAAACTTTGAAATTGTTTTGTTTACAAGGTAGTTTAAAACTAAAGGACTAAAGTGTTTATTTCCAGTGCTTTATTGTCCAACGTCTGCCAGTGGGTTTAGGGCAACAAGTAACAAATTCTCTTAGTGTAAGAACATAGTGGAGCGACGAGGATAGCGGCGAGCAAGCAGCGCGACATCGCGCCCAAAACAAACCTGTGAAGATAAGTACGTACATAGTAATATACATAGTAATATAAGTGTGAACATAGTAAAGCGATTTGCTCGAGCGGTTAGATCGAGTGGCGAGATCGATTCAAATAATTTTGTTTTTGTCGCTCTCTCGCGCTGTAGAAAACGATGGATCCTCAAAAATTAATAGATTTGGTGTTTGTAAGAAAGTTTTTATAGGACCAAAAAGATAGTAATTGCCATAACCGGTACATTTTAGATAAGTTATAAGATGAAGTGGCAACAATTTCGCAACAAACTTCGGTTTTTGAAAATTTCATGTTCACTACACCTTCTAATTTGTTGGTTTCGAATCAACCAAGTGTCTGCGACACTACTGCCCAGAATTTTAGCCACTCTTAACATTTTAAATTATCAATAAGCAAATGAAAATAATAAATTTGCACAAGTATCTCGCTATTCCTCGCCGCTCTACTATGTTTTAGCACCTCGAGGCTTGATCGACGCGGTATCACGCTGCTTGCTTGCCGATATCCTCGCCGCTCCTCTAAGTTCGTAGCCTTAGAAGGGCTAAGTCGTCATCTGCTGTAAAACTAAGCCTCTTTATAGGTTCTTTAATATTGGAAGAGGTGGAATCCATATTTTGGGCCATATTTATTTAATTAAAATTAATCCCAGCTACTTAAATTTCAAATCACCTAATAAAACTAAAGTAATAATTCAAAACAATTCAAACATAACCTATATTCGCAATCTTAAACGCCTGGGAGTCACTAAAGGTGGAGGTGTTCTTCTTGGAATACCTACAATATTTAGTTCAATCTCCGTCAATGTAAATTCGTTCCATGAGATACTCCCTGGATATAGTTGCGGCAAGAGTATACGTGCCGGCTGTCTATGTTTTTCTCATTTATTTCCCTCCAAACTCACCGGTAGATGAATACAAACTGTTCTTTGAGATGATGGAATCTTTCTTACATTTACACACAAACAACATTGTTCTACTTGGAGATTTTAATATCCATTATTATGAAAACCCCGGGGTTGGCTGTGGAAAGAATTTAATTCTTCATGAGTTTCTTGCCTTCTCAAACTCAGACAATGTAACTCCACGCCTAATATTTTTGGCAACTACCTGGATTTGGTACTATCTGATTTGCCATGTGTGGTTAGCAAGGCTGAACCTCTGCTACCCGAAGATGCTTATCACCCAACATTAGACATTACGTGTAACATTGACACGCAACTGCATTCCAATCTCTCCTCCGGGAAATCCCTAAAAGCATACAATTTTCGCAGAGCGGACTACCCACTATTATACGACCGATTTTTTAATACTGCATGGTCTTTCTTGGAGACAGGGCATTTTGACAACATAAATGATATGGTTAGAGTTTTCTATACGAAAGTTACTACTATCATGGATGCAGTAATACCACTTTATGATAAACAGAACTCTTCCAGGACTTCTCCAGCTGGTTCACAAGGGATATAATCAACAACTTAAAAGAAAAATACAGACAGTTCAGAATTTACAAGTGCACCAACTCCGTTATTGCATTAGAATCCTTCAAGCGTCTTCGCGCACTCACTAAGAAACAAATCAAAGAGGCCTACTCAACATATGAACAGACGATCCAAAACAATCTGCAAACTCAACCTCAAGATTTATGGAAATTTGTGAACCAGAAGCGTAAACATTCCCGCATACCAGGCATTATGGAATATGAAAACACTCAGCTTTCCGACACATCTCAAATACTGGATGCTTTTGGATCATTTTTCCGAAGTGTATACGAACAGAAGCAGGACAATTGGGATGGCTGTCCTGTACAGCTACCACTAAATTGTGTTTCCCTGATTGGACTTGATGAATCCGATGTTCTCAATGCGCTGAGAAAACTGAAAGCTAAGGTCACTGCAGGACCTGATAGTGTTCCCTCTTTCATTGTTAGAGACTGTGCAGCGGTCTTCTCTAAAGCGCTTACTAAGATTTTTAACTTGGCTCTACGTACTAATACTTTCCCGGATGCCTGGAAGAATGTGAAGATTTGTCCAGTATTCAAGTCCGGTAATGTCAACGGCACTGGTAATTACAGACCGATTGCCATTTTATCAAACTTTGCCAAGGCTTTTGAAATGTACATATTTACGAAATTATTTCCCTAGATCCAAAACGAACTTTCCCCCAATCAGCATGGTTTCTTCCCAAAAAGATCTACTGTAACAAATCTTACTACATTTATGGAATATACCTATAAAGCTACTGAAGAACACCAGCAGGTAGATGCAATTTTTATGGACTTCTCGAAAGCGTTCGACAAGTTGAGTCACTCGCGACTGCTTCATAAATTGGAAAATTTTGGTTTTACAGAAGAACTCGTAGCATTCTTTTCGTCATATCTTTCTTGCTGATCGCAATACGTTGAATATAATGGCCACCGTTCTTTCAAATTTACACCAACAAGTGGCGCTCCTCAGGGTAGTAACATCGCACCTCTATTATTCTCCATTTACATCAATGATATATTTAACGTAATTGACTGTCCATCCTTATTATTCGCCGACGATCTAAAATTGTTCTCTGTTGTGACCGACTCAGAAGATTGTATACGAGTTCAGAATTCATTAAACTCCATCTTTGCCTGGACTGTTCGCAACCATCTACCACTCAACATACAGAAATGTAAGAAAATGTCCATAACACTAAAGCACGGAGAAATCATATACGACAACAAAATAGACAGCATTACATTGGGAAACTGCGATATGGTAAAAGACCTTGGCGTCTATATCGACAAGCGTCTCAGTTTTAACTATCACGTAGAGGAAATCTGTAAAGCGTCACTAAAGGCACTGGGTTTTATATCAAGCACAACTAAGAACTTCCACAATATTCCGTGTCTTATTGCTCTCTACAACGCATTTGTGAGGTCAAGGCTGGATTATGCTGCATTGGTGTGGTCTCCATTTTATAGTAGCTATGAGCAACGTCTGGAAAACGTCCAACGTCGTTTTTTAAAATTATTGTTTTTTAAAGAGGATGGAATATATCCTCCTCAAGGTTATGATCACGGCCGATTGTTGAAGAGATGGAATTTTCTTTCGTTAAAGGATAATAGACTTCGTTCGTCTATCATATTCCTATATAAGTTGTCTAATTGTCTATTGGATTCTCCTTCTCTTCTCGGTGAACTTTGCTGGCATGTACCGTCCGTAAATACTAGAATGAAAACGACGTTTTATACAAAAACGCCAAGTACCATCCTTGCAAGCAGAGCTCCACTACATCGTGCCTGTTGCAGTTTCAACGACATCAGTAGACAGACAGATTTGGACCTTTTCCACAACTCCCTCCAAAGTTTTAAAGGGCATCTGGACACTCATTTCTTCACACGTTAATTGTTATCTACTTTTTCATCTATCTTTTGTTTCACATAGATACACTTTTTTTTTCTGTATTTTTTTTATATTTTATTAATTATTACTGTATTTCATATTATTATGTCTAAATTGTCTTTTGTATGGGTAAATACCTGTTAGGCAATAAAGTTATTATTATTATTATTATTAAAACAATTCAAACATAACCTAAAATAAAAGATCTCGCCGGCCGGCCCCGGTTGTCAAATACCCGCAGGCGGTAAAGTTATTAGCGGGTGTTGCGTTAAAAATTGACTCGCGCATATCGTAACCATGATAAGGTACGCGTAAATACTGCATGACGCTATTCGGTTTTCCGATATTTCCCTAATAACTGTGCCGGTCAGGCGCTGTGCACAATTTTAGAGGCCACAAGTGGGCGTGCTATGTGCGCAAACTAGTAGCCTAACTAGTGCCCGATTCCGAAAACAGAAACCACGAAAAACAATAAAGAAAAAACAAAGTTTATAATCTGTATAATCTGTGCTGTCACTATGTCGAAAGTGCATATCAGATATTTGTAATGTTTTAATACAGTTTTCAAAACGTTTTTTTCTGATGATTTTAAATTATTTAAATAAATTATTAATATTAATGAAACAAGGGCACTTTATATCCTTTATTATGCAATGGTACTCTTTCATGCCTTAACATATAACTAACCTTCTTGGTGTTCGTAAAAAGAAATAAATAAATAATAAAAATCTTATAACAATTGCTTATAAGTATAATATGATAATTACCGAACTAACGAGGGACTCTCTAGAGGACTCTTCGCATTGGAAAAACTGCAACGTAGATGGCAAAGTCAGTTAGACGTCATTCAAAGAGTCAATGAAACTTTTATTGAGAGAAAAACTCCGCTCTCCCGAACTTAAATTACGGCCGCGCACACGAAAACTTTCTTGTCTGGTCGAATTAGTCTAGATGACTTTCCATTTTCTACCTATTTCGGTTCTATGTTCGGCACTTTTCCACCGAATGAAGTAAATGTATTAATGACTTTATTTGCCGATTGGAATTAACTTTTAGAAAAATCGATTTTTTTGTAGGTTAGTTACTTTTCAGAAATTATTTCAGTTGAAACATACTCAAAAAATAAAAATACCTTCTTTTTAGTTAGGCTCTTTACTTAAAAAGTTAAATAAATAAGAAAAACTGAATTATTACACAATTTGGACAAAAAATTTAATACAATTGTTTGTCTAATGGCTAAAGTATATTATGTGAGTTTTAGCTCTTTATAATTCAGAGAATGACCCTAGATATTATGTAATGGGAATTATGTGTTGGGAGAAACACTACGCTGGACAGAGTTAGTTAAGAACAGGCGATTGGGAATGTCGGGTTGCTCTTATGTAATGCTGAGTACTATGAAGGAATAAAAAGTTATGAAAGAAATCCAGTGTTTTATTTCGAAAATATGTACTACATTTTGACATCAGAAGTGGGATCGACTTACTAAAAGTTCCGCAACATTTTTAAAAAGCGTCAATATACCATCATCTTCATCATCATTTTCAGCTTATTCAACCATTTCCAAATATGCTGTAGCCTTCCTCATATACTCTCTTTGTAGTTGGGACCATTGCTGTCTATTGTTGGCTATGCGAGTCCAAGTTATCCCTGCTAATTTTCTAATATCATGGTCCCATCTCAGGTTCGGTCTTCTTCTAGGTTTCTTAATGGGCACCAATGTAAGCTGTAATTTTTGTGGTCCTCCTGTTGTCCGTCCTTCTTGCCAGGTGTCCTGCCCATTGCCACTTTAAGGATTTGACTCTGTGGATCTATCCACTCTATTCTTTTACGGTCTCTCTTGGTTATTCCCAGCATATTTCCATTGAGTGTTGTGCCATTGAGCGTTGTGCGACATACAGTTTCCTTATAATGTCCGTTTTAAATGTCCAGGTTTCGTATGCATAGGTCATGACTGGTAGTACTCATTGGTCGAATGTTTCTTTCTTTAGATAGAGTGGCATTCTAGATTTGAATATGATTTAGTTTCTTCCAAAAGTAATCTATGTTAACTTAATTTTTCTGTTGATTTCTGGTAGTAGAGATCCCGAACTTACTTAAGGACTTACTAAGTATTTGGTTCTAACTACTAAATATTCGACTATTATTTATAGAAGAATACACATATTAGAACAAAATATGTCCTGAACTTCTATGTGTAAAAATACGAAGGATTATAATATAATTTAGTTTTACTCTCGTGCTTATCCAACTAAAGAAAATTTCAGTATAAACTAAAATAAATGTATTTGTATAATCTAATCTGCCTCATCTTTGAATAATTCATAAATTTACATGCGTGGAGATTGGGTTACGAATTAACTTATTCTCTCTAAATGGCTACTTACCTTAAAACGTTGCCAAAATTTTAAATTTAATACAAGGTAAAGCACTGATTTTATTATTTTGCTCAAATATTCTTGTATTTGTACAGGAACTGAAAAAATTAATCCATACAATTTTGAACTAAATACTGCGTACGATTTCTATAAAATAGTGTAGAAAGTTTGTTTCTAGTGTCTGTTTTTTTATTTATAGGTTGTTTTGTTACATTAATAATTTAAAACATAAAATACGTAATATATTGTGTATTGTGTAAAAATGTTTTAATTGTTTTAAACCGAAATAAATAAAACCCTAATCTATAAGTACGAAAATATGCGTCTGTGCCTCTATGCTTACTTTCTATTTTCCACTTACTTCAGCTCTATTTTCCAACAATTTTCAACAGAGCAAATAAATATAATGAAGTTATTTATTTATTCCGCCCAATTGGAAGCTCATTATAGATATGTTCTGAAATCATTTTTATTTTTATCTACAGCGTAGTAGAGAACTATTCCAGTATCCTATTACTATAATAATACTGCCTTCATGATAGAGTACATTTAATATGGTTATTATGTATTTTATTTTTAAGTTTAAATGTATCGTTAATATAATTTTTATAAAAGATTTACTTATTTGTGTACTTATATGATTACTGATTTTCTGGCATCAGTCCAAATTATTGTTTATGTATTATTCATTCTCAGCATGTGGTTTTTTTTAAGTCGTGTCATATCATTTTTATTTATTGCTGATTTATCTTTACAAGTTTAACTTGGCTGAATGTTTACTATTTTTATTTGTTTTAGGTGTTCTTTGGAAATGTCATCTGCTCATGTTATGTAAGTACTACTTTTATTATATAGGTGTATATAAAGTAGAAGTACCTAAAGGTCTGTACATATTATCAAACACGTATCGTTTCCAACACGCAGCGTTTCCGCTCCAGCTCTGTATTCACATCTTCAGAGATGAAGTATTTCAGTTTGCTTCAGTAAAGTGATGTTCTCCCATTTTTCTCGTAGAAAATATGTTGTATAAATAGTATTATAATTATTATTTTTATATTAATTTATAAAACAACGTACAATAAGCTTTCTGAAATATATCCGTAGTCGATTTAGGCGCGATTCTCACTAATACTGTTGATTGAAAGAATTGGAAAGATACTCAACCTAATGGGCAAATTCATGAGAAGGCTGACTTGTGAGAAGTGCTGTACGGTGCCTCTACTCGTTCTGCGGCCAACACATAAAACACTCATTTACTCTAATTCGGCTAGCGAAGGCATCTCGAAGACGGTGTGGAGCCGAAAGCGACAGTGTTGCCATATTAAAATGTGTAATATCTGTGATACATTTGACGAAAATATCGTTGGATGAAAAATCCGCGTTTATGTATTG